AACCAGGACGCAGACCACGCCCTCTGCAGGGCGGCCGCTACGCGCTACACTGCACTGCGGTGCGGGCCGTGCGGATGTGTCCACTGGCCACGGGCACAGAGCTAAGGCTTATGCATTTCAATATGCAAACTGGGCCTCGCAAAAGACAAAGTTCTCAAAAATAATCGAGTGGGCATGAGGGATGAAGGTGAAATGAGAATGACACAATGCTGGTAATTGTAGAAGCCGGGTAAGAGGCACAGGAAGCACTACATATTTTGCTCTTCAGAGATGTTTGAAACTTCCCAAAATAAAAGCTCTACCAAAAAAAAAAAAAAACAACAAACTCTACACTCACATGAATAAAGATGAATATTATTAATATTAACAAATTAATATTAGCTAATTAATATCAACAGTAGCAGATATTAATATTAGCAAATTACTGTGTTGATATTAGGTAGCTGATATCCATTATTATCAGCTAATTAACATTGATAAATACCAACAAATTAATGTTGCTAAATATTGACAAATAACAGACCCCCTTGAAGTTTCTGAACTAGACACAGAAGAAAAAGAAATGAACAATTATAGGTCTCGTACAGTGATGCACCTGGTACTCTATAATAGTTTCCTCATTTATTCCTCAGAACTGCTCTGTGGTCCTTTTAGCGCCACTTATAGAGGGGGAAACTGGGGCTTAGAGGGGTTCCACAACTTGCCAGCTAAGTAAAGCAGGATTTGAACACAAGCCCGTTGGACACCACGCTGCTTTCCAGCCGTGGTTCCCACCCCCCGGCCGCCGCAATAAGCTCAGAGCCTAGGACTCCTCCGGCTTGGGCCGGGGTGGGAGCGGCAGTGTCTGAAGAAGCCCAAGAATCCCCACTGGTCATGACAGGCACCACTCTCATATGCCTCTTAGTCCAGGGTGCTCTCTGGAAAGGTTACATTATGAAAATTACAAGAAACCATAATTATACCCCAGAATCGCCCCAACACCATCAGCGATGGCCCTGGTATCACATCTCACCGTGCTGACTGACAATATTCTCCTTTACATTCCCGGTCCTTAGACACCTGGGTGGGTCTCCACCTGGACTCCCATTTCCTGGCGCCCCCGCACACAGAAGTGACAAAGGTGTGATACAGAGCCCACGGCAGTCGTCACAGGGTCCCGTGAGGGGTGGGGGGGCCTCTCCACTAGGGCCGCGTCACACCTACAACCGCTTAAACTTGGGCAGAGTCACCCTCAAGGATGCTGAGGACACTGGTATGGCCAGTGACAAGAGGCCACCGTGTGTGTGTCCCTTTCCTGGCCACGGCGTCACTTTGACAGATGTCAGACTTTGCATCACTAGAGAAGGGCCCATTATGGACTTGAAAAGCTGCTGCCATTTCCAAATGCGGCTTCTCCCAGCCAAAAACACACGCGAAGCTTAGGCACGTGCCAAATACGTGGAATTACGGGCAGCTTCCCCGCTGTTCACAAGCACTAATGATCTCATCCCCAGCAGAGGCCACGGCTGCCGTCCAAGCACACCGTGCCTTGAGGGCCCATTTGGTGCTAAATAAAAACTCTCACCACGGTCCTCAATTTAAATCATAATTCCTGTTTACACTGTCGAATTTTCACCCATCTGTACTCTGTTGCCGCCATCTAAACTCCACGGCCCCGAAGACCCTTTTTCAAGATAAGTGCTTGATTCCAGTCGGGAGCTGGGAGCTGGGGTATGGGAAAACCAGCTTGCTGTCCAGTCCAGAACGTTAATCACTAACATCATTATCAAAACCTTCAATTTTTCAGGGTTAAGTCAAGCATCTCTGTGGGCGGGCTGTCTTTTTGGTTGGTTTGTTCTCCAGTTGACATGTAATTAGCTCTTAAGGACAATGCATTTTTGGACTTTTTTTAAAAGCCAAAACACAAATATTTAAGTATCTATTTTGTCTAAAGGATAGTCTTTCAATCCCTAAAAAAAAAAGTCATAAAACCAATTTAACCCATCTCCCCAAACACTCTTGTCCTGGAGGTTGCTTCTAAATGACTTTTTATGCGGCAGATAAAACAAACTTAATGCTACTTTTTTTTTCCCCTATAAAATGCTTTAGGCTCCTAGTGATACCATTTCCTCATAGTGGTTTTGGTGGATTGTTTCTTCTCTGAGAAATCTCACATTCGGCCTCGATGGGGCTGCTTCCTAGCACACAAAGAAAGAAGGAAGCTACAGGTCTCTGGACCCCACGCTGCTCCAACAGCCAAGCAGGGAAGAAGTGTGTCTACTTGTCCGAAGGCAGAAAGAACTCAAAGTCCAGAAATACAGACACAATCTAATGCAAGCAAAGGAAGCATTATGGGCTGAAAATTACAACTTTCCAAGAAAACTGCGTTCCTATCAGACTCAATCTGTGGTCAGCTCACTACCTTGAGGGGGATCTTGATGTGAATGGCCAGTGTTGTGTTCGTGGCCTGGGTGATGACCTCACAACCGTCTCACCTCACGAGGGCATCCGGCCCCCTGGGCCCTGGGGGTGACGTGTGTAGCTTGGGGCACCCACCTGGTCTTCTCCAGCCAGGGTCCACCCCTTTGCCACTACAACTTGCCTCAATCTCACAGAAAGAGAACTTGAATGTGTTGACTGGGGATCTTATTTTTCCCACCAACCACAGTTTAAAGGATGAACAGAGTTTCCAGCCTGGCTCAAATTAGCTCCCATCAATTTTACCCACCACCATATTACCATATTCTGCACCTTTGATGAGAACTAATTAAGCTCATGTGGTGCTTGTCCTCCCCAGCCTGCCTTTTGCAGCTCTGGAACAGAGCACACCAAATTAGGCCCATCTGTCTAAATGGGAAGAAGTTATTTATCCTAATGCCAGGCAAGCCTCCTTTCCTACCTAGAAGCTGCCTTCTGAAGTTCCCAAACACCCCGGGATGATTATGGCAACCCTAACTCTTAACCAGCGAGAATTCTGGGGAGAGCAGCTGAGTGTTGCATCAAGAATAACCTAGCAATTTGTGGCGAACATTTCCTTGCACAGTGAGATGTCCAAGAAGGCCACGAAGGAGGCTACCAGACTATTAAGTAAAGTCAAATTTGCAACATGTGAGAACGCAGGGCAATATTTAACTGGTTCTGCTGCAGTCTTGCCAAAAGGAAAGCCTTTTTTTCATTAACAATGCCACCATCAGGAGGGCCTAATTAATTTTAATGGAGCAGAGGAGTCTTTCTGCCACACAATGGAAAGAAGTAAAATAACCCCGCACTCTGCACAAGCCCGAGACACAGTTATGAAAAAGAAGGCCTCGGCAACAGAGACGCCCACACGTCTGCCTGGCCCATGGCGTCAGGCTCCCAGCGGCCCCCAACTGATGCTTCTCGAGCTTCAGCTGACTCCGTTACACTACCTCCCACCACTGCCAACTGCTAAGTCAGTGAGTGAAAAACTAAGAGAATCAACGACTATTTGGTAGTCATGATATAATGTCACTCCTGAGCCAAGCTAAGAAACAGAGGTGCAGAAGAAGGCCAGCATCCTACGCAGGTGGAAGTGGACCACATCTACTTAGAGGATACACAGCAGTGGAGTCTAAACCACGTGTTGGGTCCTTTATAATATAAAATGAATTATTAATAAAGAAAATTATCATCCCTGGCTGGCGTAGCTCAATGGATTGAGTGCCGGCCTGAGAACCAAAGGGTCACTCATTTGATTCCCAGTCAGGGCACATGCCTGGGTTGTGGGCCAGGTCCCCACTAGGGGGTGTGCGAGAGGCAACCACACAGTGATGTTTCTCTCCCTCTTTCTCCCTTCCTTCCCCTCTCTAAAAAGAGATAAAATCTTTTATTAAAAAAGAATGATCTGTTGCTAGTTACTGTTTTTTTCATTCCTAGTCTAAGTAGATCTATAGGAAAAAGCATTTTTTAAAAACAAGGATTCAATGGAATCAGCAGTTTTCAAACATTTTTTTTAAAGATTCACATTTCAAAGACCTATTTTAAAACAGATCTACATAGTCCCCCAGTATATGAAAAATGGTCGAAATGGAGGTGGTCCCGATGGAAGGCACGGAGCACTAAACCTCATCTTCGGCCTCCTGTCCCTAAAATGATCTAAAGGTGACCACAGGGGAACAAAACAATTTGAAAAGCACAGAACCAAAATGAATTCAAGTGTCATATGTGTAGCAAGTTTTAATGGATAATGCAGAAGTTTCAGTAAGCTACTTTACAATAAATACACGACATGGAAATACCAGCACACACAGAGATTACCCAGAGAACACCCAAGCTATTTAGTTACTATTTATCACATGCAAATTCAAACGCTCCGCTATTCGCACACGCAAAAATCTTTACAAACAAGCCAAACGGATTTCAATACACCTGAGTGAGAGAACAGAATGTTGTCCTAAACAATGGTGATGGCAAAGAGGTCTTAATGACATGGAAGAACGACAATAGAATGTTAGGGGGAAAAAGCAAGAATTTTATTGCTGATATTAAAATGTCCAGAAAACCACCAAGCAGAGATCTGCTATATTTCATGTGGTAATGGCTAGGTGGAAGATCGGGATGGTTTCTTGCTTCTTGAAACCTTATTTTGTTTCTAGAAGGAGGAGAAAAAGAGGAAGAGGAAGGGGGAGGGAGGGAGGGAGGGAGGGAGGGAAGAACTCGACATCCTCTGGGCTTAAAAAGTCAATAAAAAGGCAGTACTGTATATAATGGCCAACATTAAGATATCTGTTTCTCTTAAGTTAAAGAAAAACAAATCCGGTCTTTTAATGAATACAAAGTTTTCATCCTGTTGCCCCAGCCAACATTCATGCAGTCTGATATCTGCAGAACTGGGTGGAGGGGATCTGAATGTTCTACCCCAAAGTAGTTCAGCAGCCTGCAGTGGGGTGCTCCGAGCACAGTGAAGACCACGAGAAGGCCCAAAGAGGGGGTGTTGGACCCAGTGCAGGGCCAGGGGCCACCTGCTGGGCAGGGGCACAGCCCCAGGGCCACGCACTCACCACGTCCAGGTCCTGCGAGACCCGCCGCTTCCGCAGCTCCTCCATCCTTTCGCACACGTCGGAGAAGTAGGTGTTGTAATAGTCTGCATACTGCTGGGCCAGGTCATCGATGTTGCCCAGGGAGCCGTCCTGAGGGGGAGGAGGGTGGCAGGAAGAAACAGGAAAAGAACAGAGGCGGTCAGTCCACCTGCACACCCCTCACATGGTGTCGCCTCCCTCTCCGCAGCGCGTACAGTAATAGCTGATATGCATTAAGTGGTGAACATGTGCCAGGTGAAGCTTCATGCGTGACATCTCCCAATACTCAGGACAGCCCTGTTGGGGACCGCCCTGCCTGGTCTCAGGAAGATGTAACCCCCCATGACTTAGGCTGAGTGAAAGACCTCTGGACCAGGAGCCACTAAGGAGACAAAACTTATTTCCCTGGCATGAACGCTGCCTGTTCTGTGCCTGGCCTCCTAGGCTTGATCAGTTAGCCAATGACGGGTAAGATTTCCCACAGAGGGAATCGCCTAAGACAGGCATGATCATGAGGAGGCCTGAGGGAAGAGACTCGGGGCTGTGGAAATGAAGGGGTGATGGACATCAACCCCTGCCCCCTCGGCTTTGTCAAAGCCTGAGTCCTTGTCTTAGTTGTGAAAAATCCAAGTCTCCTGGCTGCCTTTGTCTCCTCTGCCCAACTCAGGCCTGCAGAAATAGCAGGGGCAGTGCAGCCCAGACCAGAGACGGTGGACCCCCGGGGTAATCAGGCCTGGGACATAGAATATGCAAGATCCTGTGAGATCTGTTTGCTGGAGGACGTTATTAGATTAGAATTTGAAGGCACAGGCAGGAAACCAAAACTAGCCCTTTGAGCCCTGTAGTCCTTTCAAATGATAAAACTCCAAACTTTGCCCAGAATCCCAGTTGGGTTTCTGTCAGCATCTTTGAAAGTCACCTATTTCTTTTGATCTTTTCTGCCAGACTATGAATCCACAAACTAAGTCTGTTTTCTCAATAAAAACCTGCTTGGGAATGGAAACGGGGCGCTCCCCACTAGAGAGAGTGGCCGTTCCGTCCCTACTTCCCTGAAGGACCTGGCTGTCTCTGTGTATGTTTTTCTCGTGTTTCGACGAGCCATCCACAGAGTTCCATGATCACTGCAGGCCTGTGGGCGCATCACAGCCCTATATCCCCTCTGCATAGATGGACAAACAGTAGCTCCAAGCAGCTGAGTGACAGCCCCAGGAGGGCAGGGCCTCCTGCCTGGGACTATGTGGTACCAAAGCCACAGTTACCTCACACCTCTGCCTGCTGAGCAGGGCTAGGAAAGCCCCAGCGAAGTCCCTCAGCCACGGCACTGTGTCAGTACAAGGCTCCCTGGAGCCCAGTCGGGACCACGGCTGCAGGAGAACCTCCCGCAAAGCTTTTGTGAAACCCAGATTCCAGGACACCGCTCCCAGAAATTCTGACTGGGACCTGAGACCACAGGGACCCACTGGGATGCTGCATCTGAGACATACCTGAACCAGCCCCTCCCACGAGACCCTGAGAGAAGTGGAGTCATTCCAAGCACAGACGCAAAAGTACACATTACAAATCCATCTAAATACACGAGGGGTCACCTCTGTCTCTTTACTGAGGAAAGGGCCCGCACTCCTGAGTTCGTAGCCAGTGTGCTGCCACTTCGGGGTCGGCGACCTGAGGCTCATTCCTGGCCTCTGGCAACAGCAGAACAGTAACAGCACCCACTTCATAGTGCAGAGTGCTGAGGTCACACAAAACACTTGGAACCCAGCCCCTCCGAGTCTGCCTGGTACATACTAAATGCACAAAACACATTTAGCGGATAATATTCACTACAGATGTTTCAGACTAGAGTCTTCTTTTAGGGGAGCTGATTGCTAAATACATGTCTGAACACATACACACAGGACGACAGAAATGCTGCATCTATTTGCAAGTTAAGCCATTTCTTTCTTTCCATCCTTCCTTCCTTCCCTCCCTCCCTCCCCCCTCCTCTCTCCCTCCTTCCTTCCTTCCCTCCCTCCTTCTTTCCTTCCTTCAGAGAAAGGTTTCCCCTGCCCCCTTTCACCTCCCAACACAGCTTTTCTCTGCTATGAGTAAGTGACCCTACCAAGACAACCAAAGAAAATAATCTTACCAAGACAACCAAGCAAATACAACTTTCAGACAACCTGAAAGGTGCACACACACTTTCTATTTTACATACCCCTGGCCAGCCTTCTCGCGTAACTAAGGTTAGCGCAGCACACAGAGCAAAACATACTGAAAAGCACACTGAAGTCACAATCGAGTTGTACTTAAGAGTTCTCCAAGCACCTTTGTGCTGGAGTCCTCAGGCCCCGGTCAGGACTGGCCGCTGTCCCCACTTCCACATTCACTGATTTTACAGAACCAAGTGCAGAAAACAGAAACAGAAAGCAATGATTTCTTAGAAAGCAGTCTTCCTTTCCTACCAGTAAAATCTTCTACATTTGAGTGAATTCCCTCCAAGTCCCCAGGGTAGGTCTCAGGGAGTGAAGGGCTCCTACAGGACCAGTGAGGTGCCCGAACGCGTCTGGGCAAAGTCACTCCCTACATCCCCAGGATGGTAGGCTGCATGGACAGTGCAGAGGAGGCAGGAGCCACCCTGCTCTTCCCGGGTTTACTGGCAAGTAAACGAGGAAACAGTATCAGTCAAGATGGAATCTGCACTGAGCCGACCGGCCTTCTGCTTGACTGGCTTCAATAAGGAAAATGCCAAGGAAGGAGTCACTCTTGAGAAAGATGGAGCCAGGCCAGAAAGTCTTAAGGAGAGGCTGCTGAAATATAGCATGATAAATCAAATTATGATCCTAAGCTTTGCCCTGACTCGCCTCAACCAACTCAACAGCAGATGCCACATGGGCCACCGAACAAACACCTACAACCTCCCACAGGTTTTCCTGTCTCCTGCCACACTTGTTGCCTAGTCTGCCATGGACCTGGCCAAAGTGACCTTGCTACACAGAGATCTGATCGGGTCTTTCTCTCTCCCCTCAGAATAATCCCTGCCATCTTCATCCTCCATCCTACAAAACAAACCCCGAGCTGACCCGCTGGGCTCTCAGGGCCCTTCACCTCCTTCCCCAAGTCCAGCGGGGCTGGGGAAGGAGCTGCGGTCTGCAGACTGGGGGGACCAAGCAGCCCCCAAGGTGGTGGTTTCCCCCCAGAGGAGGCCCTCTCCGACCCATGCACCTCACCCCAGCACCGGGAGAAGGTATTGGATGAATTTTTAGAAAAGAGAGAGGGCACCTGAGCTACTCCCTCGGAAGCACCTGTTCCAACCACCAGCCAGGATGACGGGAGACAGATGCCCGCTGAGGCCAGGGCGCGAGGCCAGAGGGGAAGCACCTGGACAGTGTGGGGACACAGGCAACCGGGCTACCGCTGGTCTGGGCATCTGCATCCTGTTAACCTACGATGTTTGCTTGCATTTCATAGCAATAAAGCCCTCACCAGCCTGCCTGTTCTCCCAGAGCCTCGTGTTCTGAGCTCACTCCCCCCCACAGACTGAGAAAGACCAAGGAGCTCACTTTGGGGAGGGGGTGGGGGTGTCAGAATGTGGAGTGGGGGGACAGGTCGTTCAGCAACTTCATCTGAAAAGCCATTTTTATGAGTTTTTGCCCTGATCCCACTACTCCCCACGACAACTTGGGCCCGTGGAAGATCCCGGGCTCTCCAGAGTGGTCTTGGTCTCTCGAGAACACGATGCGATCCTCATCCAGAAACTTCCATCTTCTTCCATCCAGGAAATGAAACACACTTGCCACCTCTGACCAAACATGAAATCCACATCTTTTAATGCCCAAGTGCCTGAGTAAACCTGTTGGATGTATTTATTATCTGTTCACAATGGAAATTAACATCTATCTATCTATCTATCTATCTATCTATCTATCTATCTATCTATCTATCATCTATCTATCTATCTATTTATCTATCAATCATCTCCATGTCTCATTGACAGAGGTACTAAGAAGCAGTGTCCAAGCCATGCAACACTTCAATCTGGAATTCCTGCTTCTCACAAAAATCACCAGCCTTTTCATGAGCTGTACAACTTACCACAGCCCACTGTTTTCTCAGCTCAATCAAGGCCACTCCAAAAAAAAACCTTCAACAATTTATTTATATGGCTTTGTTCCACTTACTTTTTCCCCCTTTTCTCTCTTTTTCTCATAATCCTAGCAACACCTTCAAAACCAACTGTTCACTTCGGTTCCAAAGTTTCCGAAAGCTCTTAACCAAACTTTTTCTCCTACTAGTGACAAAGTTTAATTCCCCAGCCCTCACTCCCAATCACTGGAAACTTTCTAGTAATCGGGGGCCTCACACATATATCCATTGCGCATGAGGGAGAAAGCAGCTGCTGAACTAACTCAGGCCAAAGACAGCAAACGTCTTGCACCCTGCCTCATGCTGCGACATGCACTCCGCACTTGGCGCTCAGCAACGGACAGTTTGGAACAGGGTGGCTCAGTGGTCTCTGTGTTTCCCCAAACTGCCTTCCAGATGTGCACGAAGTCCCCAAAGTGCGCACTTCCATCAGTCTTGATGATTTCAAAGCCGACAAGGGCAAGAGTATTTTTAGAAGTATGTCTTTAAAAAGTAGGTCTTGCCCTGGCTGGTGTAGCTCCATGGATTGAGTGCTGGCCTGTGAACCAAAGGTTCGCCGGTTCGATTCCCAGTCAGGGCCCATGCCTGGGATGTTGGCCAAGTGCCCAGTAGGGGACTTAACAAGAGGCAACCACACACTGGTGTTTCTTTCCCTCTCTTTCTCCTTCCTTTCCACTCTCTTCAGAAATAAATAAAATCTTTTAAGAAATAAAATAAAAATAAAAAGGAGGTCTTGCCTGCCATCGAAAGGCAGGCCTTTCCACCCATGCTGCTTTGGGACCATCTGAAAACCTCTGCATCATGTCTGCCCAACGTGTTCTTGCTTGAGACAGTGCAGACCTATTCAGTAAAAATATTTACTTCCACGAAAAATGTTTGCAACACTAGTCTGTAGGGAATGTAAATAATGCAGCTGTATTTCATAGCACCACACCTAGTACCCATCTTTCTTTTTAGATTATGAAGCTCATGTGTGACTCAACACCCTA